GGGATTGCAAAAAGCATGAACAACAAGTGTGTGGAAACGTTGGGAAGTTGTTCGGGAGTGCAAAGGGCATATGCTGATAGTTCAGGATAGTTTAGGGAAAACTCCGAGCAAAGAAAACCAGGAACATTGACCAGGCAAATAAAGAGTTTTCTGTTGCTCCAGTTTTTGCCGTGCAAGGAGATACATGGCAGGATAGTGGCATTTCAGGAAAGAGCTGTAGTGTCACAGAGCACTTAAGGGAGTGCAAGGCATCCTGGGCAGGGGGTGTTGGGCATCCAATTAGGGGGTGCCGAATATTTTGATCACGCAGATTTAAGCATAGCAGGTGAAGACATCCGTGACAGGGAAACGTAGAAGAGATGTGTGTGAGATGGAGTAGGGCTCTCTCTAGAAGAGAATCAGAGAGCGGTGTGAGTTGAGTTGAGGATGTTGGATTCCCTCCTCTTGTATCTCTGTATTCCTCTGGTATTTATCTCTAGCTTCTACCATGGACACCTGGATAAAGGGGGTGTCAAGTATTTTGTCAGGGGTTGCTGGTGTCTCCGTGTGGAGGTACAGACTATGCCAGTTTTGGGCGTGACAAGATGGGCAGCATGTTTTGTTACAAATCACCTCGCATGGACTAAGAGGGTGATTGTTGTGAGGTCACCCCATGTGAAAAGAGTGACCATCTTTCTTCTTCTAGGCAGTTCAACAATGAAGGCTGGCTCAAGTCAAGAAGCAGGTGATCAGCTCCATCGAAAGTGAAGAAAGAATGAGCCTTCCTCTTGCTATTTCTGACTTCCACCAAAAGGAGGTGGAAATCTTGGTGGGTTTGTCCTTCTCTCTTTCTCATCTTTGTGTATAAATAGAGAAAGAGTGAATAGATAATATATGTGAGAAAACCTGAGAGTGAGCAATGTAGAGAGAGAAAAAACAGAGAGACCATCTGTGGCAGAGAGAGAGCTCCCTCGGTGTGAGAGGGGGAGCTGAGTGTTGAGTTAAGAGAGAGAGAGTCTCCTCCTCTATTGTATTCTCTTTGTAATCTCTCCAGTGTTACAGTGATATTGGTTTTTCTCCTATGGGCGTAGGCATTGGGCCGAACCACGTAAAATTTGTGTTCTGTGTGTGTGTGTGATCTATATTCTGGGTATCCATGATCCCAACATCTATTCATATATTTAGTAACCTAAAAGGCTAGTCAGCCTCTCTGCTTGCCTGCAATGCTCTGAGTTTAATGGAGAATTACTAATTCTAGTTGTTGTTTTGTTTATTTTTTCTAGGATGGTCCACAGTGGTACGTGGAGGAGCTGCATTGACATGTACTACTACTACTACTACTAATAATAATAATAATAATAATAATAATCTTCATGTCAATTTGAAAGTTTCATGAATAACAACGACAATTTATTGTAATATTACAGATTTTGCAATCTTTATTATTAACAATAATTATAATAATTGTGGCTAGCTTCATCCTCATCCTATTTCACGTAAGTTTTCAATCTTTATTATTATTAACAATAATTTATACAAACAGAAAACCAAAGGGGAAAAAAAGGAATAAAACTAGCAGTGCATCTTAACAACCTTTGGTTCACAAACCTTACAAATATAAGATTAGAATGTCCACTGATATCCTTGAGATTAACCATTGTACAGAGACCTAGCTATGCTTGATGATCAAACTAGTTATGTGCCAGATTATTTTATTTTTAACTACGGTTATAGCAATGTACACATTATGAATGAATCTCAAATTTCTATAAAAGGAATCAAATTATGTAACCTCATATTTTACGAAAGCACCAAGAGAAGCAACAATACATGAATTTATTAAATTTTTTGAAAAATGTACCTGAGATAAAGAGCAAGATAGATCGATCTGGTTCAAGAATGATAACAATCTGATCTGATTTGAGAATGAAAAAAAATAGAGAGTTAATCAGCAAATCTAATTTGACAGTGAGAAAGTAGAGATTCAAACTCGAACACCAATTAACACTTACTATGATATCAATTTTGGATTTGCAATTTGCAAACTGAAGATGGGAGCTAATAGCGAGAGAGATCGAGATGGAGTTCGATTAGCCTCGAGATTGATGAAGAACATAAATGAAGAACAGAGACCGACGCGATTGATGAAGAACAACAAATTTTGATGAACATCTACAAATACAAATGGTATCAATTGCGATTGATGAGATCAATGAAGAGTAAAGCCCTCGACAGAGTTCGATCGCGAGAGAGAAGAGCGAAGTGTGAGAGAGTGATATCTGAGTGAGTGTGAGGAGAGATAACAGAGTGAGATCTGAGCGATAACGGTGATCTTTTTTTTTTTTTTTTTGAAGTGAAGCACTGAAACACGAAGCAGCCCGTTATGTGGAGTAAAAAGTGGCATTTTTTAAAACGCCATTGTATGAACGCTGTTATAACTTGTTTTTCCTGTAGTGATCATATCCAATATCCTAGGTATTATTAACCCTGTCCACAATCCTATCGTATTACTAGTCCTCATATCCAACAGGAGAACATGTGGATGAATCAAATGCATCCTTACAGAATAGCCAAGAAGTGCCCAGTGTTATTCTTTAACTATTCTTTCTTTTAATTGATAAGTAGTTTTCGACTAGCATTACCATGTCCCTATTGTACACCCTTGTTCAATTAGAGTTTAAAGTCCTAAGAAATGACATACTGAGTTTACTACATGATTAGTGAACTTCATGAATTGCATGTTGTCTCAATGATATTATAATAAAGGACTAATATCAATGGTTATATGTGATTTATGATCCTACCATCTCATTTCCTATTTACTGCCACAGTCCACTTGTCAGTCACATAGTTTGAAAAAGGAAAGCCGTAATCATTGTGTAAATTTAAGAATAAATAGAGATTATCATTCTTTTCATGCTATGTTCAGGGTAGTACTTCCCATCATTGGAGTAACCAGGTTTCAATTTGAATTTGTGCGTTTACACTTCAATTTTGTCCTAGATTCGGGTTGCTATATTTCTTTCTTTTTTTTTGGCACATCTGATACATCAGAGATCCTAGCAGGGGACCTCGAACCCTTGATCTCCTAGCGAGGTACAAGGGTTCTTCTCACCAATTGTGCTGGTTGGTTGGATGACTATCTTTTCCATACCCCTCTCTCTCTCTCTCTCTCTCTCTCTCTCTCTCTTTCTCGTTGTGTTTATGAGGATTTGACTATTCCATAATTGCTTTATTATTTGCATGTCTTTTTTGGAATGAATATCATATTGAGTGAATAGGACCCTAAAAATAAGAAATCACATAGTGAGTTTATTAGAGTCGGTTTTCTTGGGTGATTCTCCCTAATTTGAATTGGTTATTTTGTGAATGATTCTCTAGTTTAACTAAAATATAATGGGCAGAGATTAAGTTGGAGATGCTATCAATATATACATAATAGTGATTGATTATATTTACTTAAGAGTTGGTGTAAGAACAGTGTGATTGATTACTATGTGTGCCCAATTGAAATTGAAAGAAATCGTTGTCATTTGGGTCACTATTGTAAACATAATTTACGTGGGAAAACTATTTTTTTCACACTTCTCACAAGATGTGTGAAAATATCAAATTTTTTTGTCGGTTAAAACAGTGTAATGTATCCCATTTAAAGCGGAAGACCCAGTTGATTTAACTAATAAGTGTTTTTGTGCGTGTGTGTTTTCTTATACAACTTGTCAAGTGTGATCAAAATCAGACTCCTCTTGCAAACTTTTTTGTGGTCTCTCATGGTGTTGCTTTTCATCTTAGGGCCTTCTATGCTTTTATGTCAGACAATAAACAAATGGGTCTTTTGTTTGATTTTTGGTTCTTCCCAGTTTACATGTGTTGGGATATTACTTGTGGGGCATGTTTGATTGACAAGAGTAGATAAGAATTAGAAGAGTTGGGATTACATATCCTGTGAGGCCCACATGATTTTCATTTTTGGTATTCCCTAAACCTTAATTTGGTTATGTCTTGGGATTGAGATTGATAGACCAATGGTATTACTAATTCCACAAAATGGTGGGATTACCAATACCACACTCCCACCATGTTTGTTTGGGCGGACTGGATTAGCATTCCCATGACTAATGGTCCTAGGACTACGAATCCGTTGGATTATGTATCCTATCTTAACTAATAGTCAAGTTTAAAATAATTAGTCCGTACTTCAATTGTTTAACCAAATATCGGATTAATAATTTTATTTGACTATTAGTCCAATCCCAAACTCATGTCGACCTAAACAAACATGGCCTCCTAATATTAGTAATCCCCCGCATGAGATTAGTCATATCACTCTCCATCCAATTGTCAAAAATCCGTCTTGTTCCAGACTATATCATACTCTAATCAATCATAGTACAAGTACTCCCATGAGATATATGATCTCATGCAATAACGTAGGTGTTATTAATCCTGTCCATAATCCTATTTTATTACAAGTCCTTATATCCCACAAAATACCATATGGGTGATCAAACGTGTCACCCGGAGTTATAAAAAATATATATATAGTTTTTGACTAGCAATACCATATCCCCATTATACACCATCATTTAATTAGAGGTAAAAGTTGTGAGGAATGACATAATAAGTTTACCACATGATTAGTGAAATATATGAACTGTATGTTGCCTCAATGACATTATGATAAAGGACTAATGTCAGTGGTTATATGTGATTTTATTATCCTACCATCTCGTGACCAATTTATTGCCACAGTCCACTTTTTGGTAGCACAGAGTTGCTTTGAACAAGGAAAACAGTAATCATGTTGTAAATTTAAGAATGAATAGTGATTATCATTCAATTTAGGCAATGTTCTGGTAGTACTCCCTATGATAGGAGCAACTAGGTTGCAATTTGAAGTTGTGTGATTACACTGCAATTTTGTTCTAGAGTTGGATGACTATCTTTTTCTTTTTTGGTCGGATACATTAGAGGCAGTAACATGGGAACTCTAACCTTGTTTATGACATGCTTTTCGGAAGATGGGAGAGCTCAAGAAACTGGTTGAAGAGGGTAAGATAAAGTACATAGGTCTGTCTGAGGCCTCTGCTTCAACAATCAGAAGAGCACATGCTGTACATCCAATTACAGCTGTGCAGATGGAGTGGTCCCTCTGGTCAAGAGATATAGAGGCAGATATTGTTCCTACTTGCCGGTACGGTGTCATTTGTGCTAATTAATCTGAGGAAAATGTCTCGTAACTTAAATTTTGTGGCTCAAAAGTGGCTCAAATGACCAAAACGACGTCGTGGCCATTTTTATGTTGTTCTGTACTCAAAATGACGTCGTTTTGGCCATTTGAGCCACAAAATTTGAGCTACGTAGCATTGTCGTTAATCTGATTGAAGAGTAGTAAGTTTTTTGAAGTTCTGACTTCATCCTTCTTTAAACTCTTGTTGTCAATTTCAGAGAACTTGGCATTGGGATTGTTCCATATAGCCCTCTAGGCCAGGGATTTTTATTTGGAGGAACCAACTTCGTTGCGAACTTGCCAGATTGTGATTTCCGCAAGATCTGTTCGCATACTTATTATTTTTATCTGCCAATAAATTGAATAGAAGTATTTATAAAAAATTGCTTGAAATTATTATATCATGTTTCACTCTAAATTTAATTTGTGTGCCTACCTTACAAAGTGATCAATCTACTGAAACTTCCAAAATTTCATTAATCCCTATATGTGAGCCATGGTATGTTAAAATTAATGTCATATTTACATTAGATACATTGGATACATTGCATGCATTGGATACATTGAGTTCATACATTCTTTATATTCATGTATTTTATATTTAATAAGTACATTGTCTAGATTATATTCATGTACCTAGTTAATTGCAAAGTTGTTTAGGTTCATGGATCTTATTCATTGAACTTATGTATAACCTTCTTTATATAAAAGGATATAAGCCTATGGGCAAAATATATGAATAATAAGAGAAAAAAATTAAATACAAAATAATAGTTTATTCTAGAGAGAGTTTTATCAAAAGCTAATAGAAGTGGTATCAAATGTTAGCGACAAAGAAACTACCACAGACCATTCACAATTCTAAGGGACCCACAAGCTTGTGAGCAGTCTGTAGTTGGCTTCTGTGTGTCTGTAGTATTGCTGCTATACAAAATTCAAACCTGCTACAGGTAATCCATTATCTATGCTATACTAGTATAATATGTGAGCACTGCATTTGGTGAAGACTCTTTTGTGAAGTTGTGTCACGGTTTGATTTCTCTCAAATGCCCAAAACATTTTGCATTGTAATATGTATGCAAAATGTGCTTTTCCTCTCTTTTGTTTTTTTATACATTTTTTTTTATTTATAAATTTCATTTCCTGTTTATGTTCATTACAAACAAGTGTTTACACATGCATGATAGTGTATTTTTCTCAATACTCGCATTGTAATGTGTATGTATGTAGATGCGTAATACTTGCATTGAAATTGAATTATTTTATACTTGACTTTTCTTAAAACAAGTGTTGTCAATGAGAAAACTTTTAGACTGTGTTTGGTTGGAAAATTTAATGAGAGATATGGAAAGGGAAAGGGAAATAGAAAGAAAAGGAGAAAGAATTGATAAGATTTGAATTTCAAGCTATATTTGGTTGAGTTGGAAAATGGAAAAGGAAATAGCCTAATGCTTTGTTTGGTTGGAAGATTTGAGAAGGGATTTGGAAAAGAAAAGAGGAAAGTTCTGTCACGCCCCAAAATTCGGACAATAAAATATTAAATTAGTGCTAAACCCCAATCGATATTCTATCATCCAAATTCTGGGAGTGAAACAAAAAAAAACTACAATAACCAAAACCATCCACCATAAATTCATAACTAACAAATACCTCAACATTAAGGTAGCAACAACCAGTCAAAACAACTTAAATAAAGTACGGTTACAAACCATGCCAAATTATTCTAATACTAAAGTCATAAAAATAATAATAATAATAAATACATAAACTACTAACAACCCTAAACTCAAAAAAAAAACAAAAGAAATCAAAGAGATATGCCCAAAAACTTTAGTTACTTCTCGTCACCATCGTAGCCTTAACTAACCCTGCAAAGGAAGCTCAGCTGCGCTCAAATAGAACGCACCCGAGTTGCCAAGAAACAAAACGGGTCAGTATACATGTATACTGGTATGAGTACAAGAATTTACACCCACGTGTCCACTAGAAATGTGAATAAAATATACTTATATTTCACACAGTTTCACACATCTTTTCCCTTTTCATTTCCAAATTTGTTCCCAAATCTTCCAACTAAACACAGCATAAGTGAACCCAAATGACAAAAAGTGGGATTGCATTTCCCTCTCGTTTTTCTTATTCCATGTGTTTTTCATACAACCAAACAAAAAGTGAGATTGTTTTTCTTTTTCTTTTTCTATTTTTCTCATCAAATCGTCCAACCAAACAAGCCTCATGATTGTTACTCAGGAATTTGTTCACAAATAACCCACGTATATGACCAAATAGGATTGTGATTTATTTTTATAGCAAAATATGTCAAAGAATGCGTACTTCTTAGGTCCTTCTGTTTCGTGGATTTATAGTTGTAATGCTGAGACATGTATTTCTTGTGTAGAATTTTCCAAGATTCAAACCTGAAAATCTCGAGCATAATCGAAAGATATTTGACCGGGTCAATGAAATGGCTGCAAAGAAGGGCTGCACCCCATCACAGCTGGCATTGGCATGGGTCCATCATTGTGGAAACGACGTGGTTCCCATCCCCGGGACCACCAGGACAGCAAACTTGAACCAGAACATTGGTGCATTGTCTGTGAAGCTAACCCCAGAAGAAATGGCTGAACTCGAATCCTATGCCTCAGCCGATGTGGTCAAGGGTGAGAGACATTTCGTTATGTCAAGGACATGGATCAACTCAGAAACTCCACCATTGTCCTCGTGGAAAGCTGAATGAAGACATGCTTCTTGCCGTGAACTTGTACTCTGAGTACTACCGATGCTTTTTCTGTTTAGCTGTTAAGTTTCTAGTTCTAGCCTGCTCCATCACTACTATGCCTTCCTCCACAGTATACTTGACTGGAGTTGATTTATGATGTATTGCATCGTATCTATATTAGACCAAAATATTTCTGCTACTGCTTTTGCAGACTATCGAGTCACTATTGTGGAGTGCTTTTAAGTTTTGTTTTTGCGAACTTGCAGCAAATGACAAGATTGGAACCGTGTTATTGTTTTTTTGTTTTTTTTTAGGTTCGCCCTTTCTGGATTATTACCAATAGGTCTTAATAATTAGACTTAATTCCCATCAAGTCCTATTAAAAATAAATCTTTAGTAAAATTGTCACTAAAAATAATTTTTTTTTGACAATTTTTTACATACGTCGTTAAAAATTGACAATTAGTGACTTTTTTTGTCACGATTTTTATAAATTATCGCTAAAATTTACAATTAATAACTTTTTTTGTGACAAATTTTTCCTATAAGACCTATTAAGTAATAAGTCCACCTATTACGACTTATACGTAAGTACTCCTAATAATTTTCCTGTACTTTATGCCAACAAAAACTTTCCTATCATGAGGTGATTTGAATTGTTTTATGCCAATAAAAACATGTTCTCTAAGGACAATGAAAACCCTGGGCTAAGCAACAAATGTCAAAAAGCAAGTGGTGCTGCGTATAAATCTAAAATCTTGTAGTGTTTGGTTTATTGGAATAAAGTAAAATGAAATGATCATTTCATCAAAATATTCATTCACATGTGTTGGTTAGATACAAAAATAATAACAAATCACTTCAAATGAAATAATCTTTTATCATTTTAAGAGAATGATCATTTTATAGGAAAGCTTTAGGAATCATTATTTTATTCCATTCTCTGTCATTCCAATGAATCAAATAGAGTATTAAGCTCTAGAATTCAAACACCTGTCAACTGACCAAACAAACACAAATCATTAAACAAGAGATGTAAAATGAATAAAATGATTAGCTTCTGCCCACCTCAAGGCAGTGATAAAAGCCAAAAATAAAGGCCAAGGCCGACTCTGAGATTTGTGGGGTCTAAGGCGAATTATAAAAATGGAACCCCTCTAATATATATATTTTTTTAATAAAAAATTTATGCATAAAATGATAAGTATCCACAAATTTTTTATTTAAGTATACTTGAACATATAATCATTAAAATTATAAACTAAAGTTTACTGTCATATATTAAGATAGGAAGAAATCAGTACAATGACTCAAAAACATTAAAAATTAGTTTGTAGCTTTATAGTTTAGCAATATCCAGTTTACAAGTAACCCAACGATCACTTAAATACTACTCTTCTTGCATTTTTAGCTGCAAAATCACTAATTAAGTTTGTATAATCTAATTTATCTACCAAATCCTTTTCAATAGACAATATAGCTAATCCATTCAATCCTTTTTGTGACATTGTTGATCAAAGGTAGAATTTGATCAATTTTAACTTTGAAAAACTTCTTTCTCCGGAGGCAACGGTAACTGGAATAGTCAATAATATTCTATACGCAATCTAGGCATTTGGAAAACAACTATCCATCCATTTCAAATAATTCATCACCTCAATTGGCCTATTGATTTCCTTTGACAAAACTTCTTTGAAAACTTTCAACTCAGAAAATAAATCTCTCTCATCAACATCCATAAGTCCATCATGTTTCAAAAAGTCTTCAAGATTAGCACAATAAGTCTTTAAGCACTTATCATTGGTAGAATTTAACTTCTTCAAATCAAACAAAAATCCAAAAGTTTCTTCATATATTTGAAATTGTTCAAATCTACTCTTGAGTGAAGAAAGAGCTTGATCTATTATATGTATGAAGTAATTAACTCTAAAGGATTCTTTAGCTGATTGTGCAACCTTTTCACTAACATTCTCATCAAAATGTTTCTTTCTATGAATGACACGCCTTTCACAAAATGTAGGTTCAATCTCCATTTCAATTGTAACTTCTTTAGCTTCAATCATGGTCTCCAAAAATCCAGTTTCTCTATACTTTTCAAGAAATGTAATGAGACCTTTTAATTGATGTATAGCAACATCAATATGCATGTCTTCAGCTTGAAATATCTTGCTAACAGAATTGATAGCAAACAACAGATTGTGCCAGATAATCATGCCAAGCAAAAACTCAAAGTTCTTAATTTCAGATGTAACTAAGGATTGAGCTTCACACTTTGTATTGGGCTCATCAGATTCTTTTTCCAACTGAATTAAAGCATCTCTAATTTGTGGAGCTTGATACCATATAGCTTTAACACTTTCAATGCGACTTACTCAACGAGTTTGTGATAATGGCTTAAGTGTGAGACCTTTCACATTGTCTTTGAAAATTTTCCACCTCTTTGTAGAAGATGAAAACAACACATATATGCGTTGTACCACTCTAAAGAAATAGATAGCTTTGGAACAAGAGGTAGCCATATCACAAAGGGCAAGATTAAGACTATGACACCCAAATGGCATGTAGAATGCTCTTGGATTTATTTCAAGTACTCTTTTTTGTACACCTTTGTGTCTCCCTTTCATATTAGAGCCATTATCATATCCTTGCCCTCTTATATCACCAATATCAAGTTGGAGTGTGTGCAATGCCTCTCTAAGTACATTAAAAAGTCCCAACCTGTAACAACTCTCGTCACTGTTTACCGAATAACCACTGATTACCGTTAAACTGAAACTGATTATGACTGATAAGTGAACTGAATAAACTACTGAACTGACTGACTGAAATTGAAACTGAATTGACTGAGTATGCCTGTTTTATTGTAATTCTATCTGTTTGGTTATTTGATTATCTGTTCGTGTCTTCGTGTTTAAACTGCTAATTGAAGGCCTTATCGGTGGCCGAACCGGAAACCGAATAGTGTTTTATGATCATCGTGATTTATGTGAAATTATAGCATATTTATCTGAAAACTGATTAGGTATGATTAAATTAGATTAAATATTGTTAAATTGTATTGTTCTACTTATTCACAATTTTGCCATCCCTAGTGGATCACTTAGGCAACATACTTGGAGGCTTGTATACTTGTAAACAAAACATTTCTTCTTCCATTTCTTGCACACAACCGACCAAGAGAGTGAGAATGAGGGAATTGAGTTCAAGTGAGGATCTAGCTTGCAGACTTGGAGAATTTGTTGGAGATTTGTCTAAATTGAACTTCTACTCTTGTAATTGAAGACCTAGGTAAGGAAATTCAACCCCTCATTATTGTGTTTAAATTGATTCTTGCATGGTTCATGTCTAATTGAAGAGTTAAGTCAAGAATTGGTTCATTAATGTTGAATTGGAGCTCATTCCATGCATGCATGTTTGAATTGTCAAATTTTGAGTTGATTCCATGGAGAATTGTCTCATGCATGCTCATGGTCATGTTATGTCCATGTTTTCATCTTGTTCTTGGAACAATTGGCTCCTTAGAGCATCAAATTGAAGCTTTGATATGGTTTTAATTCATGCATGTTTGCATGTTCTTCATATTCATGAAAATTGGTTTGAAATTGAGTTGTTTGAAACACCCTTGAGCTTTGATTCTACAAATTGGGCTTTGATTCTACAAATTGAGCTTTGAATCATGTTAAAGTATGAGTTTTGATGTGTTTTTTGGAAAAAAATGGCCCAAGAGGATTGAAATTTATGGTTTAAAACTTGGTTTTGAGCTTGAGGTTCAAATCTGGAATTTCCAGAATTTGGACTCACGCTCGAGCGGGGTGACTGGCGCTCGAGCGTGGAAATCGTGCTCCCAGCATTTTGTTCTGTTTTGAAGTCCGCTCGAGCGGAATAATTGACGCTCGAGCAGGACATTGTGTCTCATGCTCGAGCGGGTGTTAAGCGCCCAATCGAGCATGATTTTCGCCTATCCAGCACTTTTGACTATTTTGCAGAACGCTCGAGCGGGTAAGTCTACGCTCGAGCGGGAACCTTTGTCTGCACGTCCGCTCGAGCAGAGTAACCTACGCTCGAGCGTGACCCCTGTTTTCTGGAAATGTTTTGAAAGTACATCTTTGCATCCTCATCTCATCCTAGGCATTATTAGGCCTAGTTTAAGGCATCTTAACGGGGATATAGATGTAGAACACACCGAGAAAAATTAGGGATTAAGTTATTGTTTTTCCCAACTGTGTAGCTTAGTGTGTGTTCAATCTGTAACTATGTAGGGTTGGCGACTGGGGACGCGCTCTAGCCTTACTGTAGCCCGGAACTCCGTGAGTAACAACTGTGTAAAGATATGTTCAAAATGATTATCTTCTGAACAATTGAACTGTACTGCTTTCTGAACTGTTACTGTTAATTGAATGAATGTATGTCCTATATTTTGAACTGTATTGTGGCATCCTTAGCAACTACTGTTTACTGTTACTGTTACTGCTACAGAGATCTCTGTCGGTTCCCTTGTTGGAACCACTACTGTTACTGATTGATGGCCATCATTTACTATTCGGTCTTTTAAGACCTACTGTTTACTGTACTGTTATGCTAATGGATGTACCACATATGACTGTATCGATTGAACGACTGAAATACTGATTTAATGAACTGTTTTCATTACTGTAAGGACATTCATTCTTAACCCCTTTACGCATTGTGTTATTCACTGGGTTTTAGCTCACTGCTTATATATGTATGTAGGTGTACAGGCACCAGACCACAGCTAGAAGCGTCGGGGTAAACCCCAGTTTTGTCGAGCCAACCTATGTGTCTCAATGCGAGGTTTCGAGCCTGTCAAGCTACGGCTTATGGGGTGTTTTTTTTTTAATCTCCCCGTTTGTCACTGTATCTGTTTTGCATAACTATATAGACTGTTTACTGTATCATACTGTTTAATAGGGATTAAGTCCCTGAACTGAATAAATGTATATATGTACATACTGTTTTGTCTGACTGTGTATATCTGAATGAAGTCTTTTTGCATACAGACTGTCATAGCTCATTGGACACTGTTTATTTACTGTATCGGCTTCCGCCAGCCCCTGTACTCTGTCTTACTGTACTACTGTTAAGCAGGCCTTCGGTAATCTCGGATTACTGGCCGGTTACGGTGCTAAACCCATAGGGGCGGGTTTGGGTCGTGACACAACCCCGATGTATCATCTACCTTCAAAAATTCTAAAAAGAATTCTTCTACCTTTACCGGACTAGTTGAAACATCAACACATCTTATCACAAGAGACATTTGTTCTTCATGACTAACATCTAGAGTACAATCAAGAATAATTGAAAAATATTTCGCTTCTTTGATTCTTGCCACAATCGTACTCTTGATCTTACTCGCTAACATCTATATCAATTCATTTTGGATTTTGTGACCAAGATAATGGTAATGAATTTCACTCCTTTGAATACGTTGAATGTGCTCATTACTAGATCAAATTTGGCAAGCATTTCAATTAAGCTTAAAAAGATTCCATTTCTTTCTTGATAAATCTTCTCATTGTGCCCACGAAAAGCTAAATTATTTTTAGCAAGAGTGATCACAATAGCAATTATCCCTAGTAACACTTGTCTCCAATGTTCTCTCTCTTTGTTGATTTGTTCTTGAACACTTCTATCAATTGATTCATTCTTCTTCAATCTACTTTTCAATTCAATCCATTTGCTCATGCAAATAAAGTGCTCATTACTAGTTTCATGACTTCTAAGCCTGTTGCCCATATTCTTCCAATCTTTCAATTCATCAGTAGCCAAATGAATATTGTTCCCATCTTGCTTAAACAACTTGCAACAAAAGCAAAACACTTTTTCTGAAGCATCTGAATATACCAGCCACTTCCTATCTTGCTTCTCTCCATTTTGTAACTGTCGCATGTAAAATGTAGAAGAAAAATGCCTATCTTTGTCATCTAGGGGAAAATTCACACCATTACCTCTTATAGGACCTCTTTCAACTAATAAATCCCTTAAATTTTGATCAATCTTGTCCCAATTACTAGGGTCATAAATGTTTAGAAGTCCACATTCAACATTGACATCTTCACTTTCACTAGATTCTACATTCCCCAAATCTTCATTCTTATTCTCATTCTCATTCATATGTTCACTAGGTTGTTCAATCACCAAATCATCATTCTCATTATTATTCACAAAATGAGTAGGTTCTTCAATTACCAAATCTTCATCATCATTGTCATTTGAACCCAAAATATCTACTTGTTTCTTGGTACCAAAATATTTATCAAGTGCTCCCGATTGAGATTGAATTAATTGTTCTACTTTCATCATCTTCTTTTTCTTTTCATTTCCAGAACTATACTTCCTAGGAAACATGGCTATAATCACAAACACTTCAAATCAATCCACAAATCACAAACACTTCAATCCATAAATCACAATCCACTGATTTGATAGCAAATAAATTATAAAAAAACAATTAATAAAACAAAATTAGGGCAAAAAAATTATTCAATTAAAACCGATAAATACCTAGATAAAAAAATTAGGGCCAAATTATTTATTCCACTAAAATCTAATGGATAAAGAAGGTAAAAAAAAATTAGGGCAAATTTATTATTCCACTAACTAATAGAGAAAGAATGTAGAAAAAAAAATTAGGGTAACTTTATTTAATAAAATCTGATAGTGAGAGAGAGGACTTATAATGAGAGAGAGTGTGTGTGAAAGAGAGTAAGTCGCCAGAGGAGTGCGTGAAAGAGAGCGAGTGAGTTGCTCACAATGTTGTGCTCTACGTTTGCCTTCAACTTGGTATATACTTCCGTCTTCATTTCATCACTTCATTAAAGAGAAAGAGAGAGAGATTGAAAGCAGAAGTAGTGCACTGAAGTGATGTTGTATATTGTATGTATGGTTTGGGTTGGGCCCAAACACTTTTTTTTTTCTTTTTTTTTATATATATTTTTTCATTTTAATAAATATGGGCCAAACACATTTATAAATAAATATGAGCTAAATTATACATGGGTCCAATAAAACATTTTGGGGCCCTTTAAATTGATCTTAAAACAAAATAAAAAAAAAGAAAAAAAAGTTGAGCCTATAACAATTTATTAAATTTGAAAATCCTATTTTTAAGCTAAAATTTGAAGTCTAAGACACAAGTCTTACCTGCCTTAGGTCAGGAGGCACAGGATGGAGAGAGACATAAGAAGGAACCAATAGGCCTATTTTCAAAGAGCAGTCTTATCTCCAAGGCCCACCATTAGAGAGGATTTGTTAATGGCACTCACTACAAGAAAAATGGTCTATAACGGCGCTTGAATCAAGACGTTTTAAAAAACGTTGTGGTATATTGAATAGTCAACACATTTTTCAAGGCGTCATGCTCACTGTATTTAAATTAATAGACACTTAAACCCCATTCCAATTACAAAAGTAACACAAAATCTCTCTCATATACTGCTCTTCTTCATCGAACTCGATCTCTCTCTCTCTCTCTCACAAATCGCAGATCCGAACTCGATCTGATCTCTCTTGCATTTTGTCAGATCTATTCTTGCTCTAGCTTTTCTTCATCGAACTCAAACTCGATCTCTCTCGCAAATTGCAGATCCGAAATCGAACAAGAAAGTCTATCTAATCTGATCTCTCTCACATTTTGTTAGATCTGCTGATTAACAAGGTTTCAAGCAAGTTGTTTGTGTTTTGTTTTTCATTATCAAGTGTTAATCGGTGTTTGATTTCTTTGTAGGTGGCGATGAAATGTAGAGATCAGTTACATGAACTTGTAAAGGAAGAGATTGAGAAGAAGGATTCGAGTACGGAGGAGTGGAAGATTGCGATGGAGAGAAGCTTCAATCGCATAGACAATGAGGTGATTGCAAGGAACACAGCGTTCTGCGCACCGAGAAATATCGATCCGTTGTTGAAGGATCTGAGTGAGAAGAAGCAGAGCTTCCGGCAGAACGTGGTGTCACTGGTGGTGGAGCACAAGGAGGTCTGAAGCCGTCTCGCTTCACAGGTGCAATCATTGGCTCTTCAAACCCTAACAAGACAGGCATGTGAATTTGTATATTTGTTTATATGTTTCTATGTATATTTGTTTGCATCTGTGTGTACTTTGGAAATAAAATAATTTCATTTCACCTTTTTGTTCTTCTCTATAAAGTGATGTTCTTTGTGGGACCTTCTCTAATTTTGTGTATTTTGGGGTTTATTATTATTATTTTTTTCCCTAGGCAGAGGCCAAAGCTAAGAAGATGGAGGATGAGATGTCTAGATTACAGGAGAGCTTAGAGGAGAGAAATGGCAGCTTCAAGCATCAGCATCTACTGCTGGGAAGGTATGATTTTGCTCTGTTTTCTTTTTATGCACTTGATTGCATAGCTTTCTCTTGATTTCTCTTAATTCCATGATTTGGTTATACAATTGTACTGTCTATTGTGTCAATTTCGTTATTATAATTTTAATTGCATCAATTCAGTGTATCAATTTACACACCATATCCTTCATCGTTATGTCAAGGTTAGTTGCCTCTCTATGTGATTTGTAAAGTTTTAAGTGAAGTGTTATATCTCTGAAATCTCGATGGTTGTTCTGTACTGCTGATGTTTCACACTTGCTTCAATGTTCGAATAAATTTCTGACAAAAGATCAGGACATAAGCCTAGGTAAATGAAGTCTTACCTTATTCCTGCCATTCCTGACTGCACCTTTATAATTTTGTTAATGATAATTTTGTGTTATTTTATTAGAGGTATTAAAATATATTTGGTTGCAGGTGATTTTGGTCTTGCTAAGATGTTGACTTCCAATGATCTTGCTTCCTCTGTGAGTATCTAAAATCATTGTTTTAGCTTCATGTTTGTTCTTCTGTATAGTCTAATTGCTCTGATGTATCGGCTTCAATTGCAGGTGGTGGGAACTCCTAGTTATATGTGTCCTGAACTTCTCACTGATATACCTTATAGTTCAAAGTCAGATATCTGGTCTTTAGGTAAACTCCAAATTATTTTTGAACTTTTCAGCTCATCTGTTCTAAATGTGTCCATTTCTTTGCCGGTCATTTATTACATTCCTAATTTGTGTTATTCAGGATGCTGCATATATGAAATGGCTGCCCACAAGGCTGCTTTTAACCCTTTTGTAAGTCATGGATTTGTCATTTGAATAGTTAAGGATTGATTCATTATGTAATAGGATTCAAACTATGGTATTGAATTTTAGATATTGCCAAGGGTGAATAATAAGCAAAACAAATCAAGTCCTGTTTCTTGATTTTGTTATTACTAGTGTTAGAATCAAATATATGTTTGCTCTTTACTTGACAACATTTGCAATGTACTACAATTGTGTTTTGGGAAATGTGGATCATCTAAAATAGGAGACTTTTATTCTTTTTCTTTTCAACCTACGTCTCACTAAGTCACAACTTTTGGGTTTTGTCTTCTGTAGGAAATTCCAATTCGGAATCCTGTATATCTCATGTTAGGTGCATCTTTTGATTCAACAGCAAAAGGAACTGGGCTCAAGGCTCTTGAGTTTGCTCTCTCCATTTATATTATATTTTCAATTCTCAGAAATTGTAGGATGGAAAAAGGAATTTAAAAATTTTTGAATCTTGAAAGTTTGATGAAAAAATTAGGAGAAAAAAAAAAACAAACAAAACAAAGCAAATTGAAATTTTGAATATTGAAAGTTTGACAATGACTTTGTTTAGGCATGCCTGATAGCCTTGATCAGCCAATTTTTTTCTTAGTGCTCTAATTTATGAAAAAAAATTCTAATTATGTTTACAAATTATGTTTGCATTCAAACAGGAAAAAAAAAAATGACGGAGTACATTGTAATTCATATTTTGACTGATTCTTGGAGCTCTCACAAAATTTACATGATCACATAAAAGTAACCTATAAGAAAATTTTCAATTATAGATTTCAATAGAAATATGCTTTCACCATTTACTTATTTTACTCCTTCTTTCATTTATAAATTTATTTATTCTATGTAATTGCACTCATGTGCTTCAGAGAACATTGCATTCAACAGATAGTTGATGTCTTACCTACCATACTTCGGCGATGGTTTCTGTTTTATCTTGGATTCTTCTATAAGTATGAATCAAAGCAAAATATTTGTGAATGCTTTTGTATCTTGTATAAGTTAATGTGTGCAGTCTTTATGATAGTAATTTCTAGTAATAGCATTTATAAACTCTGGTGGGCATTTTGTTTGTTAACATAAATTGATAGTACTATTTTTGAACATATGCAGTAACAGGACATAAATTAGCCCATGGCAACAATGTGTACAAAAGGCTTCTGTATTCTTTTATGCTGAATTTTGTATCTTGCTTGAACAAATTTAACAAATTCAATGAAGTTGTGAGAATTGAAAATATAATATAATAAAATAAAAATGTTGATGACAGAAATAAAGAATGTGAACCACAACCATTATGATACTAGATGGGAGTGGAACATTCAAATTAAAGGATTATCACAACTCTTTTAATCATTATTTGTTTCCTGCTTTACCTCAAAGCATCCAAATTATAGTTATCCAAGTGAATTGTTTTTTCCTTATTGCTGCGACTACATAAATGTTCTCACCATTTCACCACCTCATGAGTCCTTTGTGGTACGCATAGAATTGTATTCCTTACAATTATTCGGTTCCTACAGTAGTTTCTCATATTTATCCCTGCTTCCCCACCTTTTTTTTTTCTTTTTTTTTTCAGCTTGTTAAGATTCATTCTCCAATGCGATCTGATCCAAACCGTGTTGTAAAGTGGGTACCTGACCGTAGCACTATTACTGCTGCCAGGATTGCATCAGAAAAGTTATTAAGGTAACTGATCTTCATTTTGTTTTCTTTTCCTTTCAAATTAGAGCCTTGCATAGTTTGTCATTTGCTTGAACAATAACCACTTAAAGAGGTAGATAAAAATATTTGGTTTGATGTTTCTGATGATATCACTGACATCCCCTATAGCCCTATGGCTTTTGAAATATATTTTGAAATTTGAACTGTCTCAAGGTTTGGGTGTCGGGCATCATTTTCATCTGCTATTTGAGAATGGGTCAATTTATATTGAAACAGTGAAACTCTTGGTTTGAATCACTGACATAATTTTCTGTCATTTTACTTGAACCTCAAGCTTTGCCCTCAGTCAAGCTATGGAAACTTTAATTTGGTAAGGCAATCTGATACTTGTAATTGGTATAATCAAAGTTTTCTTGAAATTTGTTGTACGATGATTATGTTTTTTGAGTATATGTTACCATGTAATGGAAAGAAAGTTCATGGTAATTTTTTAGTGTTTGATTATCTAAACGTTGATTGATGAAACTGACCTTAAAGATCTTACTATACATGTTCTTATTATGAAGGGGATTTATGTATTAGCTTTTTATCTCTTTATGATTTTGATGGTATTTATTGCTTTGTTTTAGATTTTCTCCAAAAATATTATAATTTGCCACTGTTATTTATTTATGTGCAGGTCAAAAGGATAATTTTGCGGAGGGAAAGATCTGATTCTAGATGTAAGGAATTTAACAAGGCCAAAATTGAAATCTTGCTGAAAAGTTTTTATTTTTTTATTTTTTGTAAGAGCGTTTAAATATCCGAGTGTGTTGATTGGTGAATTTCAAATTTTTTTGTTTTTTGTGATTTTTTTAAAGATTGGGTGAATCTTGTAACTTAAATATGCTTTTATGAACATGTATAGGTTAATTGTTCTTTGATATTGAATTTGATGGTTTTATCCACTTTTATTTTTATTTTTTGTTAGGATGTGTTTTGTGAATGGAATGTAAATAACCAGCTCAGAGCATATTTTATATTAATTAAATTATGAAATAAAGTAAAAAGGTGGCGTTTTTGTTCAAAACGTCACTATATCCTGTGACGTCATCAATTATATTTGGCAGAATTATTTAAGCAGATTTAATTATATACCGGCGTTTATGAAACGCCACTATAAATATCAGCGACGTTTATTAAACGCCTCATACCTATAGCGACGGCCGTATCTTCGACGTAATGTAAAAACGCCGGTATAGTCTTTTGGTGGCGCTTTTACCACTTATAGTGGCGTTTTTGAAACGCCGGTAAAAACAGTTTTTCCTGCAGTGACTACTGCAAGATTGAAAGACAAGATGAGGTGCAAAACTCGAGAGACAGAGAGAGAGAGAGTAATAAACTAAAAGCTAAGTAGAACAACAGGGGAACAAGAATTAGAAGAAGAAGAAGAATGGTAGAAGATGTAGAAAGAAAAATCTTAGCTCTAAGGCCCACCATTAAAGAGTATTTGTTAATGGCACTACTGCAAGATTGAAAGACAATATAAGGTGCAAAACTCGAGAGACAGAGAGAGAGTAGTAAACCAAAAACTAGTAGAACAACATGGGAACAAGAATTAGAAGAAGAACAAGAATGGTAGAAGATGTAGAAAGTAAAGGCCAAGGATTGAGCAAGATGAACAATTATGATACCCACAAAGGGAAATCACCAACGAATTTTTAAAATTCCTCCCAAATGGAAATTGAACGATTGATACCCATTTGCCATCTTAACCGAAGTTGCAAAGCATTATCCCCAAAAAGGATAGTCCACCATACCCAGTAACAAGAAGAAGTTGGAATATATTGGGTTGTGCAATACTTGTAAAAAACTGGTAGAAATAGTTTTTCGGATAAAAAAAGCATCCTCTAACTTTGTTTACTAAAAGAGCTTGATTAAAAGTGTTAGTAAAAAATGGATGATATTCGGGTTACTTTTTGTGGAGCGGCGGAACCAAAAAATTAAATCAGAGAGACCTTATTAGTTATAATATTGAAAATTTTTATAAAAATATTTCACATAAATTTTTGCGATTAATTTCAAGAAAGATAAATATATATATTATTTGTAATTAGTACTCCAATATAAAAAAAAAAAGTTATGGGTATAAATTTTAAAATAAATTATATAATGATAAAGTATTTTTTTATACAAAATTTTAGTAAAAATTTAATACAATATGAATATCACGTCATCGTTGATATATGATATTACCAACTAATAGTAAACGCACACATAGAGAATGAACCCCAATTGTCAAATATAACTAATAATTTAATAAATTTCATATTTTCATTGAGATTAATTGTAATTGTACGTCAATAATAATACACATGATAATTGTATTGAAATTTTCATAAATAATAATATGATTTATTATTATATCTTTATTTTCAATTAAGAAGATGATTATTATTATTCTCATAATTTTAAAAATGTCATTAATATTTCATTTTAAATAAAATTATAATTATATGTCAACAATGATAGATATCACCATTGTATTGAAATTTTCATAGATAATAATATGACTTATCGTAATATTTTTATTTTCAATAAAAAAAATCATTATTATTCTCATAATTTTAAAAATATTATTAAAATTTCACTCTAAATAATATTTTATAATTTTTTTATTTAAAATATTTTCTTTTATGTTTATAAAAAAAAAAATTATTCCAAAAGCAAGGGGGCATGTGATCCCCTGCATCCACTGTAGCTCCGCGACTGCTTATGCGAAAGAAATCACTCACTAATTAAGATTTCAAAATTTGAATTAGGAGCCTCCAATTGTAAAGCCGTACTAGAGTTTCAAATATCTACTCTCCAAATTCCACGTACAGTAATGGTGACCTTTGAGTGACAGACAGAGAGAAAAAAATATTTTTCACAGATAATTTTTGAGAATAATATATAGAGATAGTCCTGCAGATAAGTTGTGACATCATCATACAACCACCATAGTCGGGTCGGATATAACCCATGGAACACCCATTTGGATTATCTGACAAAAACTATCTTATTTAAAGTCAAGTTTGGCATGATTGAAAAAAGATAAAAAGTCAAAAAGTTACTATCCTATTTACGTCACATCATCTTATTTAAGTCACATCACCTCTCTAATACATCACTTCAAACCCAACCCAAACCCAACCCATATTTCATAAAAAGTTAAAAAGTACACTTATTTAGTCTTCCTTTTCCTTCCTTCTTTTTTCTTCTTTTCTTTTTCTTATTCATTCTTCTTCTTATCCCATGGCTGCGGCTCTCCGTTTCATTTTTTTCCCTTTCCTTCCTTCTCCTTTTATTTTCATACGGCTGCAACAACAGCCTTTCCCTTCATTTTTATCATTTTCTTCACTATAAATTATGAGAGTACTTCTTGTACTTTGATCATTTTATTTCTTATTATTTCAATTAACTTAGTTTTTCTTTAAATTTACGATTTTATTTTAATTTGATCCAATTGATTATAACTCTTAATATTTTTTCTATATAGAAAATATGCACAAAAGTGGCATCGGTGTGATATACTTCAATTATGGATAAACAATATATTAGAAAATTGTTTAGATTTAAGAATTTATGAAAATCCTTTAAAGTTCTAAGAATTTACAAATTTGCTCAAAAATTGTGGCAAATTTATATTTCATATATAAAAAACATTTATCAATGAAAATTTTAATTTGTGAAATAGTTATATTTTAAAATAAAGAAAATTAGAATACATTCCTCTACATATTTGTGTAAGAATGTGAGGACACCAAAAATTTGTTTGCTAGTTAAAATTCAAAGGATTTCAAATCTTAGAAGTATAAGGACCAAGTTTAACATGAATGGTCAAAACCAACATTATAGCCCTAGAAACCCTACAACACACACACTCTCTCTCTCTCTCTCTCTCTCCTTTTTTATATCTCTAGTGTTGCCTCTACCATGTTTATTGGTGCTGCCTCAACGGCATCTACTACCACAACCTCAATATTATTCGTCATTGTTGCTTATGTTTTTTTCACTCGAAATCGTTGTCGTCGCCACTGATCTGTCAGTCTCTGCCATCAAGCGATGCCAAATGTGCTATATTCACTAGAAACAGTCCTTGTCATCACTGATTTTTCAAGTACAAGTTTTATCTTTCTCTCTAACATATCTCACTAGTCCAAATCTAGATTTTACTCGTCTTTAATTTTGTTTCTCATTCACTATTTTATTTTATTTATCTATTTGTTGATTGTATATTATGACTGACAGAAATATGATTGTTATTGTTTGTTTTGTATATTTTTTCTTAGGAAAATATCACATCACTGCATTTTTGCAAAAATAATTACAAATTAATTAATTTTTTTTTATAAATATTAATAGTTAAAATTTATAACGGTTCCGATTTAAATCCGACCCATTTCTTACTTTCGAATCCTAGAATCCATGTGTAGACGTCCCCGAACGTCTCGGGAGGGAAATCCCGTTTTTTACGTTGGGCTCACTACAGTTCGGACTCAAAAGTCACGGTCCTGTATCTAATCTCGCAGAGTGCAATGCAAGACCGATGAATCATCAAAGAGTCCAAATTTGGAAAATCGTTTTGGAAAACATATTTTTAGAAAAAAGTGCCAAACATGGACTGCTTTGCTAGATACAGAGTCGCCACCTAAATATTTTATTTTGGGGGAATTTAGGAAACCCTTACTCGTGCCGAAGGCCACATGTCCGTCATCACCAAAGTTGCCTCGGCTCGGGAACTTGGGTACGATTGGGGAAGGTCACTTCGTGAGCACCCTCACTCGCCCGATCAAAGATCGGCCTCTACTAACCATGATATCGAGTTTTGAAAACATTATGCATTCTTATTCCGGTTATTAGCCTAGATTTACTACATGATGCGCACAGCATACAAGTATAGACTGGATCACCTGAATTGGAACAACACATCTCATGTTTGTTTTTTTTAAAATGGTTTGATGGTGCTACCCGCAAGTAGGCTAAGACGTGGATTTGCCACCCTCGGATGGGTTTAGAAAACGTGATGGTTTGCCACTCTCAAGTGGGCTTAAAACTCGCAGTCAATGCATTATTCAAATTCAGATAATCCAACATTCACCCACAGGCATTCAGGCAGGTATACACCCACAGGCATTCAGGCAGTTATATCACATAAGCGGTTAGCCTCATGGCAAGCATGCTATCATGGCAGTCACTCACACACATGCAAGGATGTTAAAGCATAAACACTTACCGAGTACTGTAGACGTCCCCGAACGCCCCGGGAGGAACGAGCTCCCGTCCCATTCATTTTGGGGTCACTACAGCTCAGGACTCTCAAATTTGTCACGGTTCTAAGTCTGAACCAAAGAGTCCAAATCCGGCAAATTGTTTTGAGAAAAAAACAGATTTTTTGAAAGAAGTGCCAAACATGGACTACTTTGCCAGATACAGAGTCGCCACCTAAATATTTTATTTTGGGAAATTTAGGACACCCTGACTCGTTGCCTAAGGCCACGTGTCCGTCATCACCAAAGTTGCCTCGGCTCGGGAACTTGGGTACGATTGGGGAAGGTCACTTTGTGAGCACCCCCACTCGCCCGGTCAGAGACCGGCCTTTACTAACCATGATATCTATTTTTGAAAAACATTGTGAGTTCTTATTCCGGTTATTAGCCTAGGTTACTATGTGATGCTCACAGCATACAAATATAGACTGGATCGCCCGAATTGAACAAAACATTTTATGTTTGTTGTTTTTTTTTAAGAGGTTTTGCTACCGCAGGTAGGCTTTGAAACATTCGATTGATTATTCCAATTCAGATAACCCAACCTTCACCCACAGGCATTCAGGCAGATATATCAGATAAGCACATAGCCTCATTGGTAAGCATGCTATCATGGCATTCACTCACACGCATGCAAGGATGCCTAAAGCTATAAAGCTTACCGAGTACTCCAAGCCAAAATAGAAACTTCATTAGAAATCATGCATGATCCTAAGTATATAGAAATGCCTAATGCAACACATGCAAAATGCAACTATAGCAGGCTCGGCTATTCTAAACATGGCATATGAAATGCAACGACTATCATGTTATTCGACTTTGAATTGAAAGTACAATGCAGTTAGTATGGTGCGCCGAGCCCGGTGCATGCAAATACAGATGAATGATGCAAACATGCTGTCATACTGGTTAGTGCTAATTTAAAACATGCCCTAATCTAACCATCAAAA